TTATTTATTTATTTATTTTTGGTCTGATGGAATGATCCAGAGATTTGTCATCTTATTCAGATATTCTTTCGTCTACCTCACCAAGTCTGTTTTTAAGGCTTTCCACTGAATTTTTTATTGGATCTATTGAATTCTTCATTTCTAATATTTTGATTTCTCTTTAAAATCTCAATGTCATGGGAAAAATTTTCATTTATATCATGTATGGTTTTCTGTAGTTCATGGATTTGCTTTTGAGTAATCCTGTGATTATTTTTTTGAATTCCATTTCCAGTATTTGCTCAATATCTTCATCCTCACATTCTAATATTGAAATGTTATTGTGTTTCTTTGTGGGGGGTCATGGTATCTTCCTTATTCTTGTTTCTTGGATTTCTGCATCTATTTTAGGCATTTGTGGAATTAATTGTGTTTTTTTATTCCTCTGATGGCTTTCATCTTTGATCTGCGCCTCTGTGCCTTAGTGGAATGTCTGCACTTTTGGTGTGGTGGGTGTGGCAGGCAGCTCCGGTCAGTGAGTATTCAAGGTAACACCCAAGTTGGATGTGGTAGTCCTCTGGTTGACAGGATGGAGAGGAATGGTCACCTCTGTTGGTGCAACCACCCTGTTACTTCCAAGCTGAGGAATGCCCAGGTGTTAGCCCCCAGTGTGTTCAACACGCATCCACTGCACAAATGAACTGCACAAATGATCTGCACAGTCCTTCCTGTGAGCACAGTTCCCTCTGCTCTGAGCTGCTGTATGCAGCTGGGTCTCAAGAGTGTTCAGCAGCACTCGCTGGTTGTCCAAAAACCGAAAAACCTCATGCATAATATTTTCTCCTTCTCAGCACGGGCCTCTCATTGTCAAGGAATGCGAGAGGGACCACTCCGCCCTGCTAGCCTGTGTCCCCAGGGAGATTGAGGTTTTCCCAGAGCCACTGCCATAGTGTGTTTTGTCCCACTGTATCGAGCCCAATCCTCCCAGCCAGACTCAAAGTCAGTGGGGAATGCAGGTTTTTCTCTCTGGTGAAATCCCTGGATCACAGGCACACACAATACCTGCTGGCCGCAGCCCTGCTTGCTTCATGGTTGTGCTGTGTGTACAAGAGTCCCTGAAAGCGGCACTTGCCTTCCGCAGGGATGACTCCCTCTCCCCACCTGTTCGTTGCCAGGTAGGTGTAGCTGGCATGGTGGTTACCCCTGTTGGCTGCGTGGAGAGTGTCCCCAGTAGTTGGTGGGTATGCACGCGCACAAGAGCTGGAGCAGCTGCTACCTACTTATGTCAAAAAATTGTGCCAGCCCTCCCACGCTGGCCATGGTCACTGTTGATGAGGGGATAAGGGGAGAGATAGATTGCACTGCTTTTTTATTTTTTTCCCCTCAGGGTTTGCAATGCCCTACTGCCCTGAGGGATCCGGGCCAGGCTCAAAAATAGTGCAGTCCGCTAGGCTTTCCCTCCAGCTCTGACTTCAGTTTGTTTGCCAAAGGTGCTTTTCGCAGATCCAAGCTGCTGAGGCCTTTATTGTTTCCTCGCTCGTTGCTGCCAGTCTGCACTGCCACACAGGTCTCGGCCGTTTCCACTGCTTTTGCAGGACCTCCCACCGCAGTTTCCCCTACAGCTTTGCCTTGAGAGTGGGCTTTCCCCACTTTTTGTTCTATTAATTTTGCTGAGCCTGGATCAGACTGCCATCTTGGAACCCCCTGTATTTCATTTTAATTTTAATTTATCTAATGATATGTTGAGTGGTCTTTAAGGTTTTTATTGATCATGTCTTCTATCTTCTTTGGAAAAATGTCCTGATCCTTTACTCAGTTTCAAAAGTGGGTAATCTCTCTTTATAATACTGACTATAAGAAATCTTTGTATATTCTTGATACAGGTCTCTGGAAGATACAAGATTTTTAAATAAACATGTCCCATTCTATAGATTATCTTGGCACTTTCTTGATTGCATCAGTTGCAACAAAACGTTTTCGTTTTTGATGGAGTCCAGTTTACTTTTCTTCTGTTACTTATGCCTTTGGTGGCATATCTAAAACTGTGACTTATCCCAAGGTCACAAGATTTAAAACCATTTTGGGGCCAGCACCATGGCATGTTAAGCACCATGGTTAAGCCTCTGCCTGCAGCACCAGTATCCTATACTGGTGCCAGTTTGAGCCCCAGCTGCTTCATTTCCACCCAGCTCCCTGCTAATAGCCTGGAAAAGCAGCAGAAGATGGTCCAAGTGTTTCAGCCCCTGCACACACTTGCGAGACCCAGAAGAAGCTCTGGCTTTGGATCAGCCCAGCCCTGGCCATTTTGGCCATTTCAAGAGTGAACCAGTGGATGGAAGACCTTTCTGTCTGTCTTTCTCTCTCTTTCTCTCTCTCTCTGTAATTCTGCCTCTCAGATAAATAAATAAATCTTTAATGCTATGTTTTCTTATAGTTTTAGCCTTTACATTTTATATCTATAATCCGGTTTCAGTTAATTTTTGTGTAGAATCTAAGTTTGGGCTCTAACTTCATTGTTTTATAGGCAGCTGTCCATTATCTCAGCACATTTGTTGGTAAAACTGTTCTATTCCCATTGAATGGTTTTCGCACCTTTTATAAAACAGTAATTTGATCACAAATATAGAAATTTACTTATAGACTTTCATTCTCTATTAATCTATGTATATCTGTGTCAGTATCACAGTATCATCTTGATCACTATAGTATTATATACAGTAAATTTTGAAATTGAGAAGTGTGAGTCTTCCAACTTTGTTCTTTTTTCAAGATTGTTGTGCCTACTCTGGGTCTCTCATTTCCATGTGAATCTTAGGATCAATTTGTCATTTAATGAGAATATGTGCCTAGAACTTTTGTAGTGACTGGGTTGGAACTGTAGACCAATTTGGGAAGTATTACCATCTTAACAGTATTGAATCTTCTGTCCATGAACATAGGATATTTTTCCAGTTATATTAACATTCTTTAATTTCTTTGAGCAATGTCTTCAGGTTTTTACAGTATAAGTTTTGTGCTTCTATTGTTAAATTTATTCCTAAGTATTTTTTAATTTCTAATGCTATTGTAAATTGGATTGTGTTCCTAATTTCATTTTTGGATTTTTCACTGCAAGCATATTTTTTATATTTATATTGTACCCTGCAGTCTTGCTAAACTCTTGTATTCCAATAGCTCTCTAGTAGATTTCATAGCACTTTTTTATATATAAGATCACATCATGTGCAAATAATTTTACTTTCTTCAGACGACCTTCCTAGGAGGAAAGCATCCAGTTTTTCACTATTAAATATGATGTAAGCTGTGAGTATTTTCTAGATGTCCTTGATGAGGTTTGAATTAAGTTCCCATTTATATTTATGTTGTTGAATTATTTTATCTTGAAAGGGTACTGATTTTGCCAAATGCTTTTTCTGTACCTGTTGTGATGATCCTGTGGTTTTATACTTTGTTGTGTTAATATAATATAGCACATTAATTTTCAGATATTAAAATTACCTTGCATTGTTAAGATAAATCCCACTTGGTCATTTTTATGATTCTTTTTATATGTTGGTAGGTTTACTTATATTTTCTTGAGGATTTTTGTCTTCCTATTAAAAATTTTTGATGTGTAATTTTCTCATGACATGTTTATCTGGTTTTGGTATTGAAATAATACTAGCCTCATAGACTACTCCTATTTTTGGAGTTTATAAAGTACTATCATTCTTATTTAACCATTCATAGAATTTACTTGTGAAGCCATTGGACCTGTACTTCTCTTTATGGGATGCTTTTTGATTACTTAATTCTGTTTACTTGATACAAGTCTATTTACATTTTCCATTTCTCCCTAAGTCCTTTTTTGTAATTTGTATCTTAGAATTTGTCCATTTTTTCAAGTTACTGTTGTCATGTAGTTTTTCACAGTATTGTTTTATAATCCTCTCTATTTTGGAAGCTTCTAGTACTGTTTCAGAATATTTGGAGAGTGCTTTCCTTTCCTATATCTGCTCAACTTGTCTCTCTCTCTCTCTCTCTCTCTCTCTCTCTCTTTTTTTTTCTTAGATTTATTTGAAAGGTAGAGATACAGAAAGAGAGGGAGAGAGATCTTCCATCCACTGGCTCACTCCCCAAATGGCCAGGCCTGAGCCAGACCTCCTTCAGGTTTCCCACATGGGTGCAGCAGCCCAAGCACTTGGGCCATCTTCCACTGCCTTCCCAGGTGCATTAGCAGTGAGCTGGATCCCAAGTGGAGCAGCTGGGACTCAAATCTATACCCACATGGGATGCCGACACTGCAGATGGAGGCTTAACCTGCGCCACAGCTCTGGCCCCTCAACTTTTCGTGTTTTAATAATTACTCACCATTAGTTTGCTGACCCTTATAATCTTTTTTATATCTCCATTTTTTGAAAAAATGTTTGTTCTATTGGAGCTATAGGGAAAGGTATGTAGACAGATGTTTGCAGTCTACTTGTCACCGAAGTTCAATTCTCACATCTTTTGAGTCTTGGAAATTAACAGCCATTTTAATTTCTTCCTGTGGTTTTGACTGTTTCAATCAATTTGATTGTAAAAATTAAAAATATTTTTAAGATTTTATTTATTTGAAAGGCAGAGTTACAGAGAGGCAGAGGGGGACAGAGAGAGAGAGAGAGAGACAGAGGAGAGAGAGAAAAAAAGAGAGAGATGTCTTCCATCCACTGGTTCACTCCCTAGGTGGCCTCAACAGCTGGAGCTGTCCTGATCCAAAGCCAGGAGCCAGGTACTTCCAGGTTTCCCACGTGGTGGCAGGGGCCTAAGGACTTGGGCCATCTTCCACTGCTTTCCTGGGCCATAGCAGAGAGCTGGAAGTGAAGCAGCTGGGACTCGAACCAGCGCCCAGATGGGATGTCAGCACTGCAGGTGGCAGCTTTACCCAGTGTTCCATAGCGCTCTACCCAATAATCAAATCTTTTTAAGCTGTTGAGATTTTACTCAAAATAAGTAAATGTCTATTTGTATTTCTGATTTGTATTTGCTTACTTTATTTTCAGAAACCCTACAAATGGGAACTACTAGCCCAACTGCCAATACTACTGGTACTGCTACTAATTCATCCACCACTGTGGGTACAGGTAAACAAGAATCTCTCCACTCTACTTCTTCTGCAATAAATATCCTGGAGAATACAAGCACTATGGATCCCTCCAAGTCCATTGAAGTTGATGGGCTTCCTTCAGACCAGTTTGCAAAAGGACAAGACACTGTTGCCATAGAAGGTTTCACTGACGAAGAAAACGTTGAAAGTGGAGGAGAAGGCCAATACAGAGAGCGTGATGAATTTGTGGTAAAGATAGAAGACATAGAGACTTTTAAGGTGATGTGAATATTCTCAGGTGTGAAGTTCCTATGACAGCCTTCATGTTGACTTCAGCAGCATGTATCTAGCTTGTATTACAAAAAGTTCTATTTTATAATTATCCTACAATATAAGTATTTGGTAACATCAATCCAGTAGATGTTTTGAAACAAGAAGTAATTGAAAATAATTTTAACTTTGTCTTAATTTTGTGTATTTCCAACTAGTCAGTTGCATTTGGGTATTAGTAATTACAGAAGTTTTGAAATGTGAATTCTTTGGGGGCCAGTGCCATGGCTCACTAGGTTAATCTTCTGCCTGCAGTGCCGGCATCCCATGTGGGTGCCGGGTTCTAGACCCAGTTGCTCCTCTTCCACTCCAGCTCTCTGCCATGGCCCACGAGGGAACTGGAGGATGGCCCAGGTGCTTGGGTGCCTGCACCGCATGGGAGACCAGGAAGAAGCACCTGGTTCCTGGCTTCGGATCGGTGTAGCTCTGGCCATAGCGGCCATTTGGGGAGTGAACCATTGGAAGGAAGACCTTTATCTCTCTCTATCTCACTGTCTAACTCTACCTGTCAAATTAAAAAAAAAAAAAAGGAAATGTGAATGAAAGGCTCATAATTAGGAGGTAGGAAAAAATGATCTTTATAAAATTTAAAAATGTAAAGAATTAAAGTCAGACTGTTATGTAAGGTAGAATTAGACTTACTTTCGTAATTTCAAATTATAGAACCAGTAGTAGAATGTTGTAATTTCATACAAAGTTTCAGCTGTATTTAACTTAATCTATTTTCAAGTTCTTGTTTGCTTGCTTTTGCCCTTTTTTCCAATTAGGGTAGAGAGAAGGCATTTAAAATTACACTGAAGAACATAACATTCAAATTATCTGTTCCTACCATTCACAAGTAATTACTACTAATACCTTAACATTTTTTTCTGATCTTCTAAAATATATGCATACTCATAAAATTGCTTTAATCACAAATGAAAAAAGCATTAGCAAATCATTTTCCAGTAGTTTATCCTTACAAAAGGGTAATTGGCTACTTTGTGTGTTAATGAGCTCACTGTTTCTGGAAGAATTTAAACAGACTATGGCAACCTAACTAGCTTTTAGGGATCATTAGAAAAGTTCGCCTAGAGGTAAGAGATAAATTGGGCTGTGTAGATCTTTAAGATTTCATTTAGCTCTAAGAGCCTATTAATCTAAAATATAATGCTAGTTTTTATAAGTATAATTAATTCTCCTTATTACAGGAGGCTTTAAAAACAGGAAAAGAACCCCCAGCTATTTGGAAAGTACAAAAAGCTTTATTACAGAAATTTGTTCCTGAAATTCGAGATGGACAAAGAGAATTTGCTGCCACAAATAGTGTAAGTAAAATAATTGTTTACATTAGTCTTTCTATATTTTGACAGTGATCCTGAGCACATACAGAATGACTTAAATGAATTACAGAGTACATAATACTCACAGTCTGATTTTAAAATAATAGGTAATACCAGCTATTTAAGATTTAATTACTTTATACTGTTACTTTTTTTATATAAAGGAAAAGTGTTCCAATGAACTGACTCAGGTTCATTTATTCTACTAGTCAGATATTCTGATTTTCCAGGAGAATCACAAAAATTACTCTTTGATACTTAGATAGATAGCTGTTCAGTAGCTTTGAATAAGTATCTGTCGAATGAGATTGCTTCTATGTATTGTGTGGGCTTATAGTCAGAAATAAGTCGGGGATCATTTTAATTCAGGGTGAAATTAACCTGACTAGAACTATATTTTAGAAAAGGATGGCTATGTAAAAGTGGAGCAATAAAGTAACATGTACAGATTATATAATTATGTAATTCAAAGTATTTCTTTCCATAGTATCTTGGTTATTTTGGTGATGCAAAGACTAAATACAAAAGGATATATGTGAAGTTCATTGAAAATGCAAACAAAAAGGAATATGTCAGAGTGTGTTCCAAAAAGCCAAGAAATAAACCTTCACAAACTATCAGGTATTCGATTTTGTATGTAATATTTTTGTATATGTAAAGGCTTACTATTGTCAGTGTCATTGTACAAAGAATTGTATCAGTTGAAGAGCCCAGGGTTGTGTTGTTTGCTTGTTTAGTAAATACAAGTCTGAAAATTCAGTGCCTGGTGCAGTGACTCCTCTTAAAGGAACATGATGTGAACTATGGAGACTGTGACTGTCCATGACAGGATAAGATTCCCTTTTATTTCCCTGAGTCCTTTTGGTGTCATCCTAACAAATTAGTGAAAAAAACCCTGAATTTTAGAATTTAAAGTTTTGAGTCCAGCTCTTCATGACATAGAGAAGATAATTTTTCTAAAGCCCCGTTTTTCATCCATTAGAGAGAAATACAAATACAGTGTAATGTTTAAAATGAGATAATTTTTAAACAAAAATGATGAGACTTGTACATCACTAGAAAAGTGTACAAAAGAACAATCATTTATTAGTGTGACTGGGTTGTCTACAGCATGAATCTAGACAAGTGACCTGACCCGGGGATCTGCATGGGAGAGCAAGTGTGACCCTAGATATTTTCAATCTAATACTGGACAAGCCTAGTTTAATTAAGACTCCACCTGTTAGAAGCAGCTCACATTATTTTTCGTGATGGGATTTTACCCACTCAGATCTTCAGACACTTTAGAACAAATCTTGAGTGGCTCAAGATAAGATGTCTCTGGATTTCTACATCAAAACCTGGAACCATCAGAGCTTATGAGCACTTCGGAGGGCCATTCTGATGTGACTGAAAAGGGTTTATCACCTCTTACTTCCCTAAGCCCACAGATCATGTGTTGTACAGCCTCTATACTCTCTGGAAAATGAGTCCATAAAGGAAGAAGAGGAATGTGAGAGAGAGCTGAATATTGAATGCCAGTGGTTAAAGAATATATTTCCAGAAAATGTTAGAAAAATCACTATTGGGATATATAGTGCTTCATTTTGGAAGTCCCTTATGATAGTAATTAACCTTTTCTTTCCCAGTGATTCTATTTTATTTTAGTTTGACAGGATTTCAGTATGTTAATGAAGTTTGTTTATAACATTGCAGAACTGTTCAGGCTAAGCCAAGTAGTAGCAGTAAAGCTTCTGATCCTCCAACAACAAAAACTACAACTACAAAAGCCCCTTCCATGAAACCCAAAGTTAAACAGCCAAAAGTAAAGGCTGAGCCGCCACCAAAGAAAAGGAAGAAATGGAAAGAAGAGTTTTCATCATCCCAGTCTGACTCATCTCCTGAGGTCCATTCTAATAGTAGTGATGATGAGGGTGAGTTCTCTATGAAATGCCGACCTTGATCACTTTGGATCGACTACATGAATGGAGAGGAGCAGTGGTGCTGACAATTCAGTTTAGTTTTCAGGGGATTTATCTACCTAATGAGTTCTGATTAGGCTTTATGAGAATACGTTCACATGCCTAAACATCAGCTGTAACAGAGTTGGCCCACACATACAGCCTTTTAAAATGAAAAAGCAAAATTCACCTCTGTGACTTCACCTCTTTAGATCAGAAAGTGTTAGAAGAGATTTGTATTTTGAAATTTTGGAGTCTGTGTTTATGTAAGAAGAAAAGAGTAAACAAGCCTAAGAAGCAGCAACTCAAACTGTAATTAATACAGCATAGTAACAAAATAATGGATTCTAATGTATATATTTAATATGTAATACTGTACTTGCACTCTGCCACTAGCCAGCTTTGTACCCTAGAGTAAGGGAGACAGCAATTCTGTTCCTTGTTTTTCTTTTTTACGAAATGAGAAGTTTGTAATAGATCATGAGTTGTCATGTCTTTTGATCTTCGAATCCTTTACAATTTTAAAAACTGTTGAACAGCATAGAAAGCAGTTATGTATCTGTTAAATAGAAATTAAAAGTGAGATAGTTGTAAAGTACAAGAATATGCCAGTACATATTCCATTAGCCTTCAAAGCATGGTATGTGATACATGCAAGAAATTCCAAGCAGTTCAGTAATCAAGTGCTTCAGAGTTTGACGAACTCTGACTGACCTGTGGCTCTCACCTATTTTTGTAAATAATGTTCTTTTGGCACAGAGTCTCATAATTTCATTTATATATTTCTGTCTAGTTGTTTTCCCACTACAGAGGCACATTTGAGTAGTTGCTACAAAAATCATGTGACAAGTAAAGTCTGAAATAGTCACCATCTTGCTCTTTCCAGAAAAAGCTTGTTAACTGTACCCTATTATTCTGGAGCATAAAATTGAAGATGGGAAAAAAAAACTAAAGTATTGGGGGTGATCGGCGCTGTGACACAGTAGGTTAATCCTCCACCTGCAGCACCAGCATATCATAGGGGCACCAGTTCTGGTCCCAGCTGCTCTTCTTTTTTTTTTTTTTTTGACAGAGTGGACAGTGAGAGAGACAGACAGAGAGAAAGGTCTTCCTTTTCCGTTGGTTCACCCTGCAATGGCCGCTGATCCGAAGCCCGGAGCCAAGTACTTCTCCTGCTCTCCCATGCAGGTGCAGGGCCCAAGCACTTGGGCCATCCTCCACTGCACTCCCGGGCCACAGCAGAAAGCTGGCCTGGAAGAGGAGCAACCAGGACAGAATCTGGTGCCCCGACCGGAACTAGAACCCGGTGTGCCGGTGCTGCAGGCAGAGGATTAGCCTGTTGAGCCCCGGCGCTGGCCAGCTGCTCTTCTTCTAATCCAGCTCTATGCTATGGTCTGGGAAAGCAGTAGAAAATGGCCCAAGTCCTTGGGCCCCTGCACCCACGTTGGAGACTCAGAAGAAGCTCCTGGCTCCTGGCTTTGGTCGGCGCAGCTCCGGCTCTTGCAGCCAACTGGGGAGTGAACCATCAGATGGAAGACCTCTCTCTCTCTCTCTCTCTCTGCCTCTCCTCTCTTTGTGTAACTCTGGCTTTCAAATAAATAAATAAATCTTAAAAAAACAAAAAGTATACACAGCAGTTACGATGTTATTGAAGTGCCTGGGTTTGAGTCCCTCCTCGACTTCCAATTCAGCCTCCTGCTAGTGCACAGCCCAGGAAGCAGCAAGTGATGGCTCAAGCACTTGGGACCCTGACACACATGTGGGTGATCCAGATTGAGTTCCTGGCTTCCTGGCTTTGACCCCACTCAGACCTGGTTGTTGCTGGCATTTGGAGAGAGAATCAGCAGATGGAAGATCTCTGTGTGTATCTCTCTTGTCTCTGTCTATCTCCCTCCCTCTTTCTTTTTTCTCTCTTTTTGCCTTTCAAATAAATAAAAACTATACTCACTGGGGTGTGGGCATTTGTCTAATGGTTGAGATACCAGTTGGGATGCCCACATCTCATTATTGGAGTGCCTGGATTCAAGTCTTGGCTCTGCTCCCAATTCCAGCTTCTTCTCACCATGTATCCTCGCAGGTAAGAGGTAATGGTACAAACAGCTAGGTCCCTGGCATGCATGTGGGAAACCTGCATTGCATTCTCAGCTCCCAACTTTGGCCTGGTCCAGCCCCAGTCTTTGTGGGCATTTGGGAAATAAACCTGCAGATGGGGAAGCTTGTCTCTCTCTTTCTCTCTGCCCCTCCATCTATGTGTGTTTCTCTCTGTCTCTCAACTAAATAATTGTTAAAAGTATGCACACCAGAATTTGTATGGAAATTTGGTGCTACTTAAGTAGGTATTAAAGGCCTTATTTAATTTTTGCAGTTAGCAGTCCTGCCTACTGCTTTAGAGTAGAAGTAGAGCAGCTGGGACACAAGCTGATACCCACACGGATGCCAGAACTGCAGGTGGCGGCTCTACCTCCCATACCACGGCACCGGCCCCATTTTTTTTTTTAAAGATTAATTAATTTATTTGAAAGGTGGAATTACAGAGTGGGAGAGGCAGAGAGAGAAGGAGAGAGAGGTCTTCATCCTCTGGTTCATTCCCCAAATAGCCACAACGGCTGGCGCTGAGCAGAGAGCTGGATCAGAAGTGGAGCACTGGGACTTGCATTGCACGAGGAGGCCTAACGTATTATGCCATAGTGCTGGCTCAAATAAATAAATAAATTTAAAATAAATTTAAAAATGCCAGGAGCTTCTTTCAGGTCTCTCACATGAGTGTAGGAGCCTAAGCACTTGGACTATCTTTTGCTGCTTTCGCAGATGCATAAGCCAAGAGCTGGAACAGAATTGGAGCACCTGGGACTTAAACCGTGCCCATATGGGGTGCCAGCACTGTAGACGGCAGCTTAACCCGGTATGCCACAGTGCCGACCCCAATAAATTTTTCTTTATTGGTAGCCTGAGTCACTGGAAGGTGTCAACAGTAGTTAAAGTATTTTTAATGCTCTTTAAAAGGCAAATAAATATTGATAATAAACAAAGATTTCTAGGCTGGCAGTTTTCAAACTTTCTGTTTGAAGTCCTTATAGTCTTCAGATGTATTGAGAGTTCCAAGTACTTTTCTTTATGTGGGCTAAATCTATAACTATTTACCAAATAACAATCAAAACAGATTATAAAATTATCTATTTAAGATGAATCCATTCTTTAGTTTTTTAGGAAACTGGTACCATCTCAAGTATTAAAGTGATCATGTGGATAGGATTAAGTGTCAAAGGGATTAAATAAATAATAAGACCAAGTTTCTGGTAATAACAATAGATAGAATTAAAAAGAAGTGAATGTTCCAACACGGGAAGCAGTCCACACTGCAGACTCCTAGAATGGCAGTTGCTTTAAGTAGCACTCTAACCTCAGAATCAGCCCTTAAGGCATCCTGGTCTAGCTGAAAAGCCCATGAGCCCATGAGAGCATTTCAGGCATGGAAAGCCAAGATACTGTGGCAAAAAATGTCCTATATGAAGAAACTCTGAGGGTGAGACCCCAGTAGAAAGAACTGGTCATCAAAGAAGGAGGTACTTTTCTCTGAAGAGAGGAGAGAACTTCTACTTATCTTATGACCTTTTCTAAATATTCTCAGAATTTGTGGCTTCAAAAGGCTCCCATAGCCTAGACAGCTATGTCAAGAGCCTCAGGTGTTCACTGACATCATACATAAGAGTGTTATTTGTTAACAACAGGAGTCACTGTGTACTAATTTCTCATGCAGGATCTGTCCTCAGTGAGTTGTATTATGAGAGTTAACAGTAAAAGTTGTTCTCAAAGATTTATTTCATTTTAATGTATTTAGTGGAACATATTATTATATCTCACAAGTTTTATTTTTTTAAAGATTTATTCATTCTGAATAATACTAATGTATAGTATGTTTATACTACTTATTCTTTCGTCTGTTGATAGAAACTTGGATTTCTTCTACCTTTAGGCTATTGAGAATTATCTGTTGTAGTGAACATTGACAGGCAAGCATGTAAATGTCCATTTTTAGCTCTTTTGGATATATATCTAGTTGAATTATTTAGCTCTTTGAGGAACCACTATGCTGTTTTTCATAGTGGTTGAACAATTTTATATTTCTACCAGCAATGCATGAGGATTCTAATTTCTCCACATCCTTGCTAACATTTGTTATTTTAGTTTTTAAAAAATACTTCATTATAACCACTCTATTCTGCATGATGTGGTATCTCATTGTGGTTTTGATTTGCATTTCCTGAATGACTTAATAATGATTTTTTAACATTTTCCATGTGCTTTCTGGCTTTTTGTTATCTTTGGAAAAAACTATTCAAATCCATTTCCAGTTTTTGATTGGATTGTTTGTTCTTTTGTTGTTAATTGTAGAAATTCATTATGTGTTCTGGATATTAAATCTTTATCAGATACATGATTCTTTTAAAGATTTATTTATTTATTTGAAAGGCAGTTACAGAGAGGCAGAGAGAGAAAGGGAGAGAGGGAGGTCCTTCATCTGCTGGCTTATCCCCCAAATGGCTGAAGTGGCCAGAACTGAGCCAATTCAAAGCCACGAGCTGGGAGCTTCTTCTGGGTTTCCCATGTGTTTGCAGAGGCCCAAGGACTTGGACCATCTTCTACTGCTTTCCCAGGCTACAGCAGAGAGCTGGATCAGAAGAGGAGCAGCCAGGACTTGAACTGGCTCCCATATGGGATGCCAGTATTGAAGGTGGTGGCTTTACCTGCTGCATTACAGCACTGGCCCCCCAGATACATGATTTTGAAATTACTTTTTTTCATTCTTTAGGTTGCCCTTTACTTACTTTAAAAAAAAAAAGATTTGTTCATTTATTTGAAACACAGAGTTAACAGAGAGAGAGAGAGAGAGAGAGGTTTCCCATCTGCTGGTTTACTCCCCAGATGGCTGCAATAGCCGGAGCTGGACTGATCCGAAGCCAGGAGCCAGGAGCTTCTTCCAGGTCTCCCACATGAGTGCAGGGACTCAAGGACTTGGGTCATCATCTACTGCTTTCCCAAGCCATAGCAGATTGCTGGATCGGAAGTGGAGCAGCCAGGACTCAAACCAGTGCCCATATGGGATGCCAGTATTGCAGGTGGCAGCTTTACCTACTACACCATTGTGCTGGCCCCTTCACTTTCTTATATACACAGAAGTTTTAAATTCTGATGAAGTGCAGTATTTTTTGCTTATGCTTTTGTGGTCATAGAATATAATGGCAGATCCAAGATCATGAAGATTTATCCCTATATTTTCTTTTCTTTTTTTAAAAAGATGTATTTATTTACTTGAGAGGCATAGTTACAGAGAGAGACAGACAGAGAAGACATGAACTAGCGTCCATTTGGGATGCCAGTGCTGCAGGTGGATGTTTAACCTACTCTGCCACTGTGCTGACCCCATCCCTCTATTTTCTTTGAAGGGTTTTATGGTTTTTAGCTCTTATTTTCAGGTCATATGTTTCATTGTACAGTATCAAAAAACAACATTATTGCCACCACTGATCTCATCAGTAAAGTTGGGAAACTATCAAGCTCATGAGGGAAGGGGGAATAACAGTTTTCCAGAGTTCTAATTTTGAACTTAAAACATTAGATTTTACTATTGGCAATAAGTATTGTAAGATGTTTTCCTTGAGGTGACAGGTTCACTTCACTGATTTTAAAGAATGTCTGGAGTATACCCAAGTCTGAATAGACATAGTGTATCTGGAAGTCATTCCTTAAAATAAAAGAGGTAGTTAGTTCAACTAGGAAAAGTACATGGATGTCTTCCTGGTGGTAATCATAACTCTACTGGTTTCATCCCATGTGAAAAAGACATCCCAAGAATAGAGATTTGGATTAGGTGTTTATAAAGAGTAGAGACTTAATGGAGATCATTTTACTACCTCATCAAGGTCTGTCTTTATATTTTTAAATTTATGTACGTTTATTTGCAGGTTAAAGAAACACAAAGCTTGCATTTCCATCTGCTGGTCCACTCCCCAGATGCCCATAACAGCTGGGGCTGAGCCAGGCCACAGCCAGGAGCCTGGAACTCAATCCCGATCTCCCATGTCAGAGACCTGAGTACTTAAGCTGCCTCTCCAGTACATGCTGCCTTTCAGGGTGTGCATTAGCAGGAACCTAGATTGGAATTGAAGCCAGGATTTGAACTTAGGCACTGTGATATTAGATGCTGGGGTCCTAAGCAACATCTTAGCCACTTTGTCACATTCCTGTCCAAAGCACTATTCAGTGCAAATGACCGTTTTTCTTTCTGCAAATCATAGCAAAGTGTATGAATCATTACTCATGCAGTTTTGTGTCACTGCCTTGCTTCATACTAAGGCACCAGTAATTTTACCCAGTAATACTTTTGTAAATATCAATAGTGGAAAAGATAATATTGCATGTTAATATCATGATAGTAGTTTTGACATCAAAAATCATTCAAAGGAGTCTAGACCAAACTGTAACAACTGTTACCAAACAGTGTGATGATAGTTTTCTATGTGAATGGCAAAAATGTCAAAATTAAGGGATCCTTAAAAATGCATTTTTAAATTTATTTATTTATTTGAGCCAGCACTGTGGCATAATACGTTAGGCCTCCTCGTGCAATGCAAGTCCCAGTGCTCCACTTCTGATCCAGCTCTCTGCTTATGGCCTGGGAATGCAGTGGAAGATAGTCCAAGTCCTTGGGCTCCTGCACCCCTAGAAGAAGCTCCTGGCTCTGGGCCGATTGGCCCAGCTCCAGCCTTGGTCATTTGGAGAGTTAACCAGCAGATGGAAGACTGACCTCTCTCTCTTTCTCTCTCTCTGCCTCTGTCTTTCTGTAACTCTGCCTTTCAAGTAAACAAAAATAGATATTAAAAAATATCTGTTTTAGAGACAGATAAGCCTAGAGAGCAGGAGCTCCCATCCACTGTTTCACTCCTCAAATGCAGACACCACAATGACCAGAGCAAAAGCTGGGAGCCAGGAAAGCCATCCGGGTCTCCCACGCGTGTAGTAAGGACCAGATTTCTTGAGCCATGCATCACTGCTGCCTCCCAGGGTCTTGTATTGGCAGGGAGCTAGACCCAGAAGCCAGGGCTACATATTGAACATAAGTGTTCTAGTGGGATGTAGGAGTCTTACCCACTAGGCTACATGACTGCTTTGAGATAAACTTTTAATCTTACAGGTTTTTTTGCCTTGAGAAATTCTTGTTTATTTTATTTGAAAGGCGGAGGAACAGAATGAGAAAGATCTTCCATCTGCTGGTTGACTGCGCCAAATGTCCCCTCCTCCAAATCTTGTCGTTTTTGCCATTAAGTTTGAGTGAAATTCCATCTGTGCATGAGCTATGTTTACATTTTAAAATCTTTTAACATGTATCATGAGAGTTTTAAGTGTAGAAATAAAAAAAATGGGGCTGATTCTGTGGTGTAGTGGTCTAAGCCCATGCCTTGTGGCACCAGCATCCCATATGGGCACCGGTTCTAGTCCTGGCTGCTCCTCTTCGCATCCAGCTCTCTGCTATGGCCTGGGAAAGCAGTAGAAGATGGCGCAAGTGCTTGGGCCCCTGTACCCACATGGGAAACCTGGAAGAAGCTCCTGGCTCCTGTCTTTGGATCAGCCCAGCTCCGGCTGTTGCGCCCATTTGGGGAGTTAACCAGCAGATGGAAGACCTCTCTTTCCCTCTCTGTCTATAAGTCTGCCTCTCAAATAAATAAATAAAAATCTTTAAAAAGAAAAAATAGAGATATTTGTGTATTAGGTCATATATTGAATGTCCTGTGGGTTCTTTATTACTTAAACAGAGAGAAAACATCAAAACTAGCATAGCATGACCTAGCCATGAAGTGGACTAGGGGAATAAAAATGGGTACCTACCCAGCCTACATTCCAGATGCTGGGCTGGCTGGGCCGGCTGGGCTTCCTAATCACCCAAGAAACCTTTGTAATGTTTAATTCTAAATATTTATTTACTTACTTGAGAGGCAGAGTTACAGACAGAGAGGGGAGAGAGAGAGATCATCTTCCATCTGCTGGTTCACACCCCAAATGACTGCAGTGGTTGGAACTGGACCAGGCTGAAGTCAGGAGCCTTGAACTCCATCCAAGTCTCCCATGTGGGTGCAGGGACCCAAGGACATGGACCATCCTCTGCTGCCTTCCCAGGAGCAGCTAGCACTTAGACCAGCACTCATGTGGGATGCTGGCATCTTACACTAAACTATTTTGTCACGATGCCAGGCGCTGAAGTCTAATCTTAAGCTTCTTTACCACTATGACCCAACTATCACTACCACCACCAGAAATTCTGTTTCATTGAATATAGCAATCTGGTTCTTTATTGTGTAAAGCTCTCCTCCAGTGCCTGTGACATGCAAACCAGCTTTGAGAATGTCTGTCCATGGTGCTTTTAAAGGTAGAATGAGAAAGCCATGAATTTGAAGAAATTGTATTTATAACCTTTCATCTGTTTACTGGCTCTTGTTAAAGTTGTCAATAAGAAAATTTAATATTTTACCTCTTCTTCCTCCCAGAATTTGATCCGCCAGCCCCCTTTGTCACTCGTTTTTTGAACACAAGAGCAATGAAGGAAACCTTTAAGAGTTACATGGAGTTGCTTGTTAGCATTGCTTTGGATCCTGACACCATGCAAGCCTTAGAGAAGAGCAATGGTACAGTCTGCTAAATAATGCTTACTTGGTAGCACTTTCTTGATTTCTTTTTTTAACTCTCATCTGTTATGTATTTTTTATACAACATATACTTCTAAATTGTCAGTTAAATTCTCAGTGGTATAATTCTAGAAAATGGTCATGTTTTCATGCAGTTTCTGAATATACAAGCAGCTGTATATTAAATTATCTTTTTATGGCTTTCTATTCATGAGATAATTATGTTACTATTTTCTTTCAGTTCTACAAGTTATATCTTCCTCATAGTATTTTACTGAATGTATGAATTACATGAAAGTCCATATGTCAGCATATTTTCTCATCATTGGAAAAATGGATGAGATAATAATGGTATTAAGAGTAAAATTATATATGTATTTTTAGTAAAAGATAACATTACAAAGAAATTGTAATCTAATAATATTCTAATAATATATGCACTGGGTTATATCAATTAATATTATTCCTTTTTCTCTTCCTTTTTAAATTTTTCCTTATAGCAAAATAGGGTTAAATTGATATATGAAATAAGCTGTTAATTCATAGATCTGATCTCCAAGGTCTTCTAATTTCTAGTCCAGGACTTTTCTCACTGTATAGTCCAAGACGCTGAGCTACATACCAGTCACCTTATGGAGTCCTGTGGAGCTTTCCAGCGTCTTCCAGCACATGGGCGATTACCTAGTCTAAAACATTTATTTCGTAGACTGAGGTTCAAAGAGATTTGATGTGTTTCTTCAAGTTAGGAATAAGTAGAAGTAGATGATTAAACCCAGTTCATGCCCCTGGTCAGCATTTTTGCTAATAATTGTTTTCTCTCACAATCAGAACTCAGTATCTTTGTCTATATTAGTCATCTTGGGATAGTTGTGTTTTGAAGGATTTTTCTTGGTTTCTTATCAGTGTTTTCTGGTTTTTTCCATTTAATATAAAGGGGTCATATTTAGATTACATTTCAAAGTAATTCATCAATGTTTAAAACTTATTTCGTGAATTGAAAAATATAGTATTTGAATAAACTACCAGGTGTGCTTCAGCAGTCTTAGTGTTGCTCACTTTGTACTTTTTCTTCAATTAGAAGAGGTAGCATTCCCAGTTTACTGTGCTTGTACATGTGTATTTCAAATACTGTAAACATTTACTTTATTCAGCTCTGAAGTTTGAATCCTAGATTCTGAGGATGTTATATATATTTTCAGAAAGGTCATTGAAGGCAATTAGTATTATAAAGTATAATACTGTACTGATAATAAATAGATTAATAGCCAAAAAATTTTGAGTAGGCATATTTGTCATGCTACTCAGTATTCTATAAAATTTTATAATGTTAGACTAATTTGGAGTCTGAGACACTGTTGTTATTCAGATTGTTCAGATGAGTAGATAAGGTCTGGAGAACTCAGGCAGCTGGTCCAGTGCTCATATAGCTACCATCTGATGGTTCCAAAAATGTAGATAAAATCCACTCCTAATTTAGAACCCAGAATTTTTGATTTTAGTATAGAACAGGTCCTGTAATCCTATTAAGCTACCTCCTTCTCACTTTCTAAACCTACCTTTTCAGGTTTGTTTAGAAAGTTTCTTGTCCAGTTTTTTGCAAACAGTACTTTATGAAGCCAGTGAATTTAATATTATGTAGCATATACATGCTGTGAGAAAAAGTTGTATTTTTAACAAGTATGTTTATCCTGTTAAATTATAATGTGGTTTCAGATGAACTACTTTTACCTCATATGAAAAAAATAGATGGCATGCTAAACGATAACCGAAAGAGACTGCTTTTGAATCTTCATTTGGATCAGCCATTCAAGGTATTTTCTTTAAGTGATGTATTTATGAAACTCATGGTGATAATCATAGTCTTAAGTAAAATAGGAAGTACAGTAGTCATTCTTACTAATAAAGATTTGTTCACTAACAAAAAATTGGGTTTTACTCATAGTGAGTCTGTTTACTTTGTCTTTTAGTGTTAACCACGTGCTTTTCTCTGCTTAAATTCATTTTTTAGGCATTTATATTTATCTAGTACTTTTTTTTTAAAGATTTATTTATTTATTTGAAAGGCAGAGTTACACAGAGGTAGCGAGAGAGAAGAAGAGGTCTACCATCTATTGGTTCACTCCCTAGATGGCCACAGTGGCCGGACCTGTGCCAATCCGAAGACAGGAGCTACTTCCAAATCTCCTGCATGGGTGCAGGGGCCCAAGGACTTGGGCCATCTTCTACTGCTTCCGCAGGCCATAGCAGAGAGCTGGATCAGAAGTGGAGCATCTGGGACTCTAACCAGTGCCCATATGGGATGCTGGCACTGCAGGCAGCAGCTTTACCCGCTATGCCAAAGTGCCGGCCCCTATCTAGTACTTTTCTATAAAATAATTTCAAGGGGTAGGCATTTAGGATAACAGTTAAGACTCCTGTTAAGATTCCCACATTCTGGGGCCAGCGTTGTGGCATGGCAGCTTAAACTGCCTCCAGCATCAGCATCCCATATGAATGCCACTAGTTTGAGTCCTAGCTACTCACTTTCCAATCCAGCTCCTTGCTAATGTGCCTGGGAAGGCAGTGGAAGATGGCCCAGGTACTTAGCCACTGCCACCCACATGGTAGACCCAGATGGAGTTCGACAATCCTGGCTTTGGCCTGGCTTGGTCCAGCCCTGACTTTTTGCAGCCATTTGCAGAGTGAACCAGCGGATGGAAGATCTCTCTCTCCCTCTCTGTCTCACCCAGTTTGGCCACTCAAATAAGTAGATTTTTTTAAAGATTTGTCTATTTATTTGAAAATCAAAGTTACAGAGAGAGAGATCTTTCATTCACAGGTTCACTCCCCAGATGGCCAAACTTGCAAGGGCTAAGCCAGACCAAAGCCAGGAGCCAGGAACTTCATCTAGGTCTCCCACGTGGGTGGCAGGGGCCCAAACACTTGGGCCAACCTCTGCTGCTTTTCCCTGGCCACTAGCAAGGAGCTGGATTAGAAGTGAAGCAGCCAGTACATGAACCAGCACCTGTGTGGGATGCCAGCAACACAAGTGGTGACTTTACCCACTGTGCTACAATGCTGGAAATAAATGAATCTTAAAAACAATGCCTGGGTTCAATATCTGTTTTCTGCTAATTATACCCTGAGGGGCAGCAGGTGATGGATTGGTCTCTGCCACTCATGGGGGATCTGGATTGAGTTCTAGTCTCCCAGCTTTAGCCTGGCCCACCCTCTGCTGTTTTGAGTATGGGAGTTCGCTCTTTCACTCTCTTGCTCTCGCTCTTGCTCTCACTGCCTTCTGAAATTAATAATTTAAGAATAAATAAATTCCAAATGCATTCTACAAGTACTTTTTTTTTTTTTTTTTTTTGACAGGCAGAGTGGACAGTGAGAGAGAGAGAGACAGAGAGAAAGGTCTTCCTTTGCCGTTGGTTCACCCTCCAATGGCCGCCATGGCTGGCGCGCTGCGGCCGGCGCACCGCGCTGATCCGATGGCAGGAGGCAGGTACTTATCCTGGTCTCCCATGGGGTGCAGGGCCCAAGCACTTGGGCCATCCTCCACTGCACTCCCTGGCCACAGCAGAGAGCTGGCCTGGAAGAGGGGCAACCGGGACAGAATCCGGCGCCCCAACCGGGACTAGAACCCGATGTGCCGGTGCCGCAAGGCGGAGGATTAGCCTAGTGAGCCGCGGTGCCGGCCTTACAAGTACTTTCTTTAAATGACTGTATTCTGATATTGTTTTTGTCTTGAACTTTTTAAAAAAATGTTAACTTTAAATAAAATTAGTCTTTTCTTAGCATAGTTGTAAAAATTCCCTTTCTTTACCTTATTTATCCAATACCTGGAAGGAAAACTCATTTTCCCTCGGATGGTTGGAGATCTGTACATTATGCTATCTTGGTAATATAAATAGGTTTTTATATTTCCAGAAATGTAAAATAAAAAGCTAGTCAAATAAGTGGTTTAAAAAGAATCTGGCTTTTCTTATTCAGAGTTTACCATCATCATATCTAGAATCGTTTGATGATTATATCTACCTTGGAAACATTTCTACCTATGGTGACAATATCCATATACCTTTTGCATATCCTATTTTGTAAACTCCATTGCAAAAATTAATGTTGACTCCATTTTAAGTAAGCGAAAATGTAGGCTTTGAAATTGAATCTGGGGCCAGCGCTGTGACGCAGAGGTTTAAAGTCCTGGCCTGAAGCACCGGCATCCCATATGGGCACCGGTTCTAGTCTCAGCTGCTCCTCTTCCGATCCAGCTTTCCACTATGGCTTGGGAAAGCAGTAGAAGACAGCCCAAATCCTTGGGCCCCTGCACCTGTGTGGGAGACCCAGAAGAAGCTCCTGGCTCCTGGCTTTGGATCGGCACAACTCTGGCCATTGAAGCCATTTGGGGAGTGAACCAGCGAATGGAAGACCTCTCTCTCTGTCTTTACCTCTCTCTGTAACTCTGTCAAATAAATAAAAAATAAATCTTTAAAAAAAACCAAATTGAATAAAAAGTTAATTGGCACTAAAATACTGTAGTAGTCAAGTATGAGAAGTCTTCATAAAGTTCATTAAAAATGCACATTATCTTTTTAAGGTTTATTTATTTGAAAATCAGCATTATATATAGAGAGATTTTCCTTCTGGTTTATTCCCCCAGATGGCTGCAACAGCCAGGGTTGGGCCACAGAGCCAAGGAGCAAGAAGCTTCATCTGAGTCTTCCTTGTGGGTGCAGGACCCAAGCACTTGGGTCATCTTCTGTTGCTTTTCCTAGGCCATTAGCAGGGGGCTGGATCAGAAGTGGAATAGCTGGGACTCAAACCCATGCCTATATGGGATGCCAATATCACAGGTGGCGGCTTTACCTGCTTTTGCCACGACGCTAGCCCCAAAAATGCACATTATCTTTTAATTCCATTTTTTCATGAACTTTCTCAAATACCCTTGAATTCTTCACTGCCATGCACTTGCAGGGAAGAAAAGTCAGAAGCTAGTGAGAAGCCTCATGCTGAGAATACTCCTAGGCCAGTGTGTTCCTGTTCAACTCCTGCCTTCAACTACAATATTCTTTTGAGAAATACCGTATTTTTTGGAAACAAATGACTTTAGATACATTTTTTATTTTTTTTATTTTTTATTTTTTTTTTATTTTTTTATTATTTTTTTTTGACAGGCAGAGTGGACAGTGAGAGAGAGAGACAGAGAGAAAGGTCTTCCTTTGCCGTTGGTTCACCCTCCAATGGCCGCCGCGGCCGGCGCACCGCGGCCGGCGCACCGCACTGATCCGATGGCAGGAGCCAGGAGCCAGGTGCTTTTCCTGGTCTCCCATGGGGTGCAGGGCCCAAGCACTTGGGCCATCCTCCACTGCACTCCCTGGCCACAGCAGAGAGCTGGCCTGGAAGAGGGGCAACCAGGACAGAATCCGGCGCCCCGACCGGGACTAGAACCCGGTGTGCCGGCGCCGCTAGGCGGAGGATTAGCCCAGTGAGCTGCGGCGCCGGCCTTTAGATACATTTTTTAAAAGACTTACTGAATGTTAGAAATTACCTCTTCAGGGTAATTATTTTATTTTATTATTTTTAAAGATTTGTTTATTTATTTGCAAATCACAGTTACACAGAGAGAAGAGAGGCAGAGAGAGAGAGAGGTCTTCCATCTGATGGTTTACTCCCCAACTGGCCGCAACAGCTGGAGCTGGGCTAAATCGAAGCCAGGAGTCAGGAGCCTCTTCTAGGTCTCTCACGCAGGTGCAGGGGCCTGAGGACTTGGGCCATCTTCCACTGCTTTCCCAGGCAATAGCAGAGAGCTGAATTGGAAATGGAGCAGCCGGGTCTTGAACCAGCACCCATATGGGATGCTGGCACTTCAGGTTAGGGTGTTAATCCGCTGGGCTACAGTGCCAGCCCCCGGGGTAATTATTTTAGAAATGTCAAAACTGTTTTCTAATATCTTGTGAGGGAGTCTTCAAAAAAGTTCATGGAAAATGTGTATTATGAAAAAAAATGATGCATGAATAATCCAAATTCTGTTGCACAAAAATTAACGCATCTTTTGTTTTACATGAACTTTTCAAAGTACTTCATATTACAATAAAACCATTAGTTGGAATTAAATCAGCTCAGTACATGCTTATAGCTTATGCAAGGTAACAGCTGAAAAGTTAATTTTCATAGAAAAAAGCAAGACTTCTAAGTTTGTGATTATTAATTTTATAATTTTCATGTAATATACTTTCCATTTCAAAATCAGTTCACACAAGTATTAGAAGTTAGGATGATTTGAAGTAAAATATTACTAGTGGTAGCTTTAAGATATTCCATTCCTTAGATATAATTAACACTGCTTCCCATGATGATCTTGGTAATTTGGGGAGTGAGTCCTGAATATGCTTTTTGTTTTTTAAAGTTTATTTATTTATGGGGCTAGCGCTATGGCATACTGGGTTAAGCCATAGCTTAAACTTAACCTCTAGTTGTGGTGCTGGCCTCACATGTGGGTGCTGTTTCAAGTCCCAGCTGCTCTACTTCCCATCCAGCTCTCTGCTAATGATTCAGGAAAGCAGTGGAGGATGACCCAAGTGCCCAACCCTGTGCCCACGTGAAATACCCAGAGGAGACTACTGACTCTTGGCTTCAGATCGGCCCAGCTCCTGCTGTTGCAGCCATCTGGGGAGTGAACCAGCAGATGGAACACCTCTCAGTCTGTAACTCTGCCTTTCAAATAAATAAATGAATCTTTCAAAAAAAAGATTTATTTATTTGAAAGGCAGAGTGACAGGGAGAGGCAGAAAGATCTTCCATCTGCTAGTTTCCTCTCTAAATGCCTGCATAGCTGGGACAGAGCTGGTCCAAAGCCAGGAGCCAGGAACTTCATCTGGGACTCCCATGTGGATGTCAGGAACCCAAGTGCTTGAACCATCACCTGCTGCCTTTCCAGGCACATTAGCAGGAAGCTCGATCAGAAGCAGAGTGGACTTAAACCAGCGCTCCAATATGGGATGCAGGTGTCCCAGCAGATGCTTATCCTGCTGCCCCATAGCACCTACCCCTCCTGAAGCCTTTTGAGGATAGCGATGCTCTGTCTTCCTCCAAAATTCATGTCCTTCAGATTATCTTTAGCATCTAGCTCTCATTTTAAAGAGTCACATTTTCTCCTTTATTCCCACTGAAATTGGTCTTGCCACACGGCCACTGTATAACCAGTGGTAGCTACCCTGTGGTTGTGGTCTGAAGACTATCAGGCTCTCAAGATTTTATGTCACAAGTGCTTTCCCTGTAGTCAAAATGCAAGAAAAATAGTGAAGCCAGAGAAGCACTACAGTTCTTGTTTTCATCTCTCCTCATCTTCATGCAGGATAAAATGAGCTTGTTAGAGCAGAGCTTGTCCACGTGGCCATGTGTATTGACAGTAGTTCAGTTGGCAGCACTTAGAAGATACTTATATTTGGCTCTCTTTCCCCTGCCTTGAAGTCATAGAGGCATTTCTAGAAAGAACTCTTCCTTGTTCAGGAATCTGCATAGAGTGGTATATTGTTGCTTAAACAAGCAGGACATGAGGTTGGCCTAGATTCAAGGGATGGGGAAATAGATTTCACATCTGATGGGAAAATTTGAAAAGAATTTGAGCCAACCCACTTCCTGTGCATTGGCCACACACACAGGTACATGGGCATAAGTATATATTTACCACAGTCTGTCAGTACTGCTGCATGCGGGTATATGTGTTTATAGAAATTCTAAATGACTGGCCAGAGTTTAGGTTAGTGTTCTTCTGATATCAATTACTTTGTCTCACTGTTTTAAAGAATGCTTTGGAAAGTTTTCCTGAACTAACAATAATAACTCGAGACTCTAAAGCAAAAAGTGGAGGATCTGTTATTTCTAAAATCAAAATGAATGGCAAAGCTTACAATAAAAAAACTTTAAGGACTTCTAAAACGACCACTAAATCTGCCCAAGTAAGTATATATTGATTAATGTAAGTATCCCTTTGCCAGTTGTCACTATACTTCTCACTGAAAGCATTGAAACAAATGCTGTCCTGTGTTGCTAACGAGCGAGTCTTCCCAGGCAGGAATGAGCTGCTCTGCTACAGAGCAGGGACTGCCTGTGACTGTTTGCTCCAGTGACTTGTGCAGCATCTGGTTTATCGTAAACACACACAGGTTTCTTAAATGGACTAATAAGGAAGGAAATCATCTCACATTTCTATTTATATGTTTATATAATCAGTTTTTAATTGGCAAATACAAATGTGCGTGTTTATCTTGTTCAACATGTTGTTTTGAATTAAGTATATATTATGGAATGGCTAAATACCTGTATGTAGTCTTGTCATTGGATACACATGCATACATATGGGTGCACACATATCCCATAAGAAGATTCCATATTGATTTCATATCTGCAAGGTCAGTAAAATTGGTATTTGTTATCTTCAAACATAGTATAAATTGTTATACCTTCTCTAAAGTGTTTGGCAGTATAGCTACTCCATATCAAAAATACATTCTGGGATGGTGCCGCGGCTCAATAGGCTAATTCTCCGCCTGCGTCGCCAGCACCCCGGGTTCTAGTCTCAGTTGGGGCGCCGGATTCTGTCCCGCTTGCTCCTCTTCCAGTCCAGCTCTCTGCTGTGGCCCGGGATGGCCCAAGTGCTTGGGTCCTGCACCCACATAGGAGACCAGGAGAAGCACCTGGCTCCTGCTTCGGATCAGCGTGGTGTGCCGGCCACAGTGCGCCAGCTGCATTGGCCACTGCGGGGTGAACCAACAGCAAAGGAAGACCTTTCTCTCTGTCTCTCTCTCTTTCACTGTCCACTCTGCCTGTCCAAAAAAAAAAAAAAAAAAAATACATTCTGTGGAAACACATTCACGATGCATAAGAATGTATCCCTTTGTTTATTACACAGTTTTTAAGTGCTAGGGATACAACAATGAAAACCAATCAAAACTGCTGCCTTCATATAATTTATATCCAAGTGGATAGAAAGAGACCATATGTAATAATATGGAAAGATAACCAAGCTGCAGTTAGGTCAAAAAAAAGCTGAAAAAAGAAAAGTTGCAGGATAATATGTGTAATATGAATATTAGTCATTTTCATGATTGAGGTTGACACTTTTTATCTAGTATTTTCCTAGACGTATTCTTATCTTACATGCTCCAAGAAATACATCTACATCTTTTTTTTATAGGAGTTTGCTGTTGATCCAGAGAAAATACAGTTGTATTCTTTGTATCATTCACTCCATCATTATAAATATCATGTTTATCTGATATGTAAAGATGAGGTAATTGCTTTTCATTTATTTTTAAAAGAAATGTTTTTTTGAACTTTAAGGAGACTAGTATTTGTGAATGGTTTAAAGAGAATTGATGTAAATTGTATGTGTGTGTATTTTGCCATTTTTTCCTATAAATAATGACTGGAAGACTTATTGTTTATTCTCAGTCTTTCTGCTATGATTGTGCTCAGATTAGTCGAAGTCTTACCACCTATTGAGCTGTAATTGGTAATGTGTTTAAGCTGACAGTACTTGCTTCACGTTACCATAGTACATGATGCTTTTAATCCTCCTCTAATTCGTTGCTCTCACTGCTTTGAAAACTCAAGGTCTTATCACTGGAATGGCCTTTTTCCACTTAATTGCAGAGAAATGGAGATCTCTATTTTGGCATGAGGAAATGAAAGTTACATTTTAATTGTAAATTTTAAGTTCAGAAATTATATAGGACAAAGTACTACCTGTGGATGGGATATAAGGATTAGCTTCCTCAGACAGGTTAAATGACCAAAGCAAGTACTCTTCTATTTGAGTAGCACTATCACCTTTTTATTAAAAAGGATTCTGTTGGTCCCAAGATATATCTGATATGTGAGACAATTGTCTGGTATGAAAATATGTTCATAAACCTAACCTCTGTATAGCAAAGGAGAAAGTAAAGACAGTGAATCAAAATATATTGACTACTTTTACCATGCTCTGAAATGCAGAATTGACCCCAAAATTTGTCAGTTGCTGCTTAACACAATTGGAAGAAACTGAGAAAGTTTGAAGCACTTTTGTAGCCTTTCTCTGCCCCAGTGGAGCCAAAGGTAACAGGGTTAGGTTCAACAACATTTATCTGATTTAATCTCTATGGATGGAATTAAGACAAAAAGATCAATATTTTTAGGTGAATTAATTCTCATTTCATTCAAGACATACAAAAAAAAAATAAGCCCCCGTGAAGAGCTTAAGTTATTGCTAATATGGCAATTTTCTTTATTTTAGATTTCTTCTGTGCAGAAAAAAAATGAAGATTTAGGACAGGAGGAAATTGTTCAACTTTGTATGAAAAATGTAAAATGGGTGGAGGACCTATTTGAAAAATTTGGAGAACTTCTAAATCATGTACAGCAGAAATGTTCCTAACATTTCTACAAAAACCCCATCTTTTTTATAGCACTAATGAAATGGCGGAGGGGGGTGGTCAGAGATAATCAAGTGTCAAGCAGTGGTCTCCTGCAGGCATGGAGCTGTCATCGGGACCCCTGCTAAGGGACAGTGGTGCTGCTAAGGAAATCAGTCCTTTGGAAATGGACCTGAATCCCACCACATTTTTATCCTAATGATTTTTCTATTTTGTAAACAGTTGGGTAACTGAGTTTTATTTTCAGAAATGTTTTTTGACAAATGATGAAGCATGCACTAAATATAATTTTTTTTAATTGCTAGAGAAATAACACTTAAGTAACTTGATTTTTTTTTTTATGGCTCTGGCTAAACACCAGAATGGAAGAGAGGTGGCAGAAAGCAAATGTTTGTATTCATGTCTGGCCACAACCCGAAACTAGTATACATTATGTAGACAGATCTGGTGTGATGTAACATCCTGTAGGAGAGTATCATCTACTTAAAATATAAAATTCAGAAACTGTCTTCTGCTTTATGGACTCCTTTACTCTTAACATGTTCAGGAAACTGGATGTGGAATTGGTGCAATTCTGTGACTGCTTTTTGTGTCAAATTATATTGTGATGAAAAATCAATGACATACTATTTTCCCTATCTTGAAGAAAAGTATTTTTGTTTATACTGTGTTTTTTCCTTTGGAAAAATTTCAATTGTACATTTTATTTTACTAATAGTTGTATTTTTCACAAGGAAAACATTGTGGTTATAAGTATGTTCTCTGTATCTGTACTACGCTTCATTATTTTCAGTAAATTTTATTTAGTTATATGTTGAATTTCTATTGTGGATTTTATCTACATCTGTTCATTCAGATTTTCTCCAGTGTTATCCAGAATATGCATTCAGTACTAGAATTAGTTCAGCTTTATAAATGGGGTTGTGTTAAACACTGCAGTTTTCTAATTCATAAAATAAATTTCTTGCTAAACTAGCACTTGATTAACTGATTCGCCAAAAGTCTAACTTTGTGATAAATTTTGAAAACTAAAATGGATAATTAGACTATGCAGTGTTAAACACAGTTCTTCCCTAACTCTTAGAACTGGAAGTGATAGAATTCTCTTTTTGGTGCCTTTTCAACCTTTATACACACTATTGTAGTTTTCTTAAGTTTAATGACTAGTAGCATTTCAAGTAGTTTAGCTGAGACAGTGAATGTATTAGGTTCAACATGACCTGGTGTTTTATTTGTGTTTGCCAACAGGATGCCTTATTTGTTTGTGAAAAAGATCTACTAGTGTCATTCTAAACTATCTCCTTTTTTAGGATTCTAAAGAACTTGTTAAACATCATACTTTTGTTTATTTTACCACCATTTAGTGCCTTAAGTCCTATTAGGAAAGCAGTGTTACTGCTTACTGCCCAAATATGACATGCTTATATGGATATTGGTATTGCTTTTTTGAGTTAAGAAGCCTGTTTCTCATACTTAAAAGTATTGGTAAAATAGCAAAAAAACTGAAGGTAACATGGGACTTAATTTAAGAATAAAATATTTGCATGATACCATTGGGTGAAAAATGAGTATTTGAGTTAGATTTACATATTTATTTCTAGTGGTTTTCTTATTAAAAGCAATAATCCTTAATACTTGTACTTGCCATTAAACAAGGTACTCACTAATGGAAGTTTCTCTCAAGGGTAAAATTTTCCATTTCTGAAAGTTTTTTAAAACCTATTTGGGCAGCTTATTTTGAAAACAAAAGTAACCTATTAGATTTATTTTGCCTAACTCTATGAGAGGTGCAGAGAATATCAACAATGGGATCATCATGAAATTAATTTTGTAAGTGGAGAAGAGTAGGAAGCAGCCATAATTCTTTGATGGTATTGACTCTGGACAGGATTGGTTTCTTTCATTTCCAAAGTGAAGAGTAGGGAATTATATTTCCTAATGTCATGTTGTAAGTATACATCTTTGCATTGCTCCCCAGCTTACTTTCCTGAATCATGGATGATTTAAATATTTTTGAAAGTTGCCTTGTGTATAGATAACTTTAAAGTAGATTTTGAAATCATAGCCACATTTTCTACATGACAGGTCCCATGGAAAGCAAAGACATTTCCTTAAAGTTAGTCTTGTTTCCCATAGCAAATAATGATTTCCTTTTGAAGTGCAGTTACCCTCTAAACTGTTTACAGTTGTGTTCATTTTAGTTGGCAAAACAAGTGTTTTCATAATATGGGAGGCCAAGTCCTATTGTACTGCCTTGTAGAGGCCCTGTTGGTTAAATGCATAATCATCTCTCGTTTGATCCATACAGCATAGGTGAAAATATCGACCTCAGGCCTTAGAGAAAAGTGGGACTATTTTAACAACCATGCTTGAGTCCTCTCCTTGTATGAAATTAAGTGAATACCTAGCTGGTTAGCATTTACATTCCTTACCAGGGAGCTTGAAATTTATAATATAGAAATAACTTTAGGTTGTAGATAGGAATAAAGAGGTAAATAAAGCACATGTTACCACAACCCAGGAAAATATTTTTGAGAAAGATTGGATTTTCCTACCTATAAAGATTGGAAATCATGAAATGTAAAAAATCAGTTTGTGATGATGTTTATCACTAGTTCAGATGAGCGGTTGGAGAAGGGGCCTGGCCTCCTTGTTGTTTTCACTATAACCTAATTCCCACTTATTTGATCCTTTAATGGAGTCATAAATTTATAATAATTTATGGATCATCACAGTAAGTCAACACTAGAAACTACCCATTTTCTATTACAGTCTCAAATAGCAAACATTGTTAAAGTGTAAAAAAATCTTATTTTAAAATGGCTTAGAAATTTGTCAGTTTACTTTTTAAAATTCTAAAGTTATTTAACTTTCTTAAATGTAAAAATAAAAATATATAGATGACTCATTCATTGGACTGTTTTCAAATATTTCTTCACATTTCTTAAAGTGTAATTTTCCTCTTACAATACATATTTATTTTCTTTAAAGCAGCTATATTCCTACCCATGACTTTGAAGATAGACCCACAGAAACCAATATAGCAGCAGGCATATGAAGCAACTTTTCCAAAAGTTGCTTGAGATGTGTATGTAAGTTGTGAGTTTTATTGTATTTGTAGAATACAAATTTGTTTTAAACTGTATTTTGAACTGTTTCATGAAAATGCTTTTCAAATAGAGTGAAATATCCCAGGATAATTGCTTCTGTGTCAGTTGTACTTGACACAGTAACTGCACAAATGAACAATGTACACTATGGGTTGTACATTAACTTCTGTGTACAACTTTTGGCATCTGTGTTCACAAATGCATGTTTTTACAAATCACTTTTATTTATAAGTGACAATAATTGAAGTTAAGGATATAAAGAAACCTGCATTTGTAGTCCAGAGTTTTTAATTGGTCCATAATACAATGTATGGAAATGTGAAAGACAATTTTGTATATTTGTTTGCTACTAACTCAGATTATTAAAATGAAAACAGTTTTTTAAACAACAAAATGAGAATGGGGTTTTTTTGGCTTTGTTTTTTTAAGAATTGAAAAATGAATTTCTACATAGCTAAAAGCATCATCATGTTATAGATACTTCACACAACACACATCATGTTATGGATTATTAGAGTTGTTAGGTACAAATGATATGGGGCTTGACTCTTTATTTGTTCTTTTGTAATTTGTTTTCGTTACACGGTTAGAAAATCTTCAGTGCAATCAATGATCTCCATCAAGAAATATTTAACATCTCTGTTTTCTCTGGTTACTGAGACTACTGTTCATTTTAGTATTTTCCACATATTTTAGAAAATCATTATTCTTATTATCCGTATTGCAAATCTGAATGATAGCACTTAACACTGCACTGTTTTGTAACATCTTGCTGCTCTGGTTCTTTTAGTACCTTTTTAAATGTACTTTGTATCTCAGAGAGGCTCTCTGAGCTCAGTTACGTAACTTGCCCCATCTCCAAGAAAATGTGCAAAAGAATATGTCTACTCTTGTTTTCAAAATAGAAATATTTTGTTATGAGAAAAACAATAAGGCTACTCTTGTTTGTTGCTGGGGGAAAAAAAAAACTGTGGGAAAGTTTAAAGAAAAAGATATAAAACACTCTGTACTAGGTCTTGATGTAGGCCTAAAACATGCTGTTTCATTTCCCAGTATGGTATAAGTCACGGATTTGGTATTAGATGGCCCCTTTAGTCCACTGCGGCTTCTTAAAAATTCCTAGATTTCAGAGATACTCACATTTCAATGAAAATAAAAAGCACATTCCAAAGTGAAATCAAAATGATCTGGGTTGTTGATCATTTTAAGTTATGTATATATCTGTTCTTCAGCTAGGATGAATAATTTAGAGCTGCCTGGTTTCAAATGAAAGGAAGATACAATTACCTGTCAGTCTTGTTAAACCTGATCTATTGTGTGACATTAATCGGAGGTCTGGAAATTGCTTTGCAAAAATCACTCGTGTTTTAATGTGTATTTTACCCGTGAAGCTTGATGTTTGTTGATTTCACTCAAATTAAATCTAGGTCTTCTTTGCGTTTTAGTCCTTAAAAGTATTTAGAATAAGGAAAGCAACAACAAAAATCATTTTAACATAGAATAATAAAGGACATGATAGAAATGTTTCTCTAAAACTGTAACCAGAATTATTGTTACCTTCTCATCTTCACAGCCTTTCTGTGGTTTTCCATTATTTTTAACCCAGTTATCACAGTTTACAAAGAAATAGTCGCCTTTAACTTTCTTGTCCTTCTTTTTGCCTGCTGTGGCCCAGTCTTGGGGACCGCCTTTAGGTTTTAATCCTTTAGACCAGATTAGCTGCCCTTGATTCTTACAGCGTAGCATTCACCATATTTTGGTGTAGTTGAGTAATTAGGGGTCTCTCCTGCTGCATCCTGTTATCTGATGATAGGACCCATGTCTGTTTTGCTCACCATTGCATTTCTGGCACCTCTACAATATCTGGAACATATTATATTTTCATTAAATATTTGGTGAATGGTCACGTGAAAGAAAAGTTACAGGGAATATTAAAAAGATAAAGACAGCAAAGTATAGATTTCGCAGTAAAGACACAGCTAACCCTAATGAGAAGTAGTAATTGCAACATTAGAAGAAAGTGAATATACTGAGAGTTTGTATAGTATCAAAAATTGTTGGTATTTTTTGAAAAAGTGAACAGCAGTAGCCATTTCTTATTTTTTTGACAGGCAGAGTTAGACAGTGAGAGAGAGAGAGAAAGGTCTTCCTTTTCCATTGGTTCACCCCCCAAATGGCCACTATGGCTGGCATGCTGTGCCAATCCAAAGCCAGGAGCCAGGTGCTTCCTCCTGGTCTCCCATGTGGGTGCAGGGCCCAAGGACTTGGGTCATCCTCCACTGCCCCCTGGGCTACAGCAGAGAGCTGGACTGGAAGAGGAGCTACTGGGACAAAATCTGGTGCCCCAACTGGGACTAGAACCTGGGGTGCCAGCGCCACAGGTGGAGGATTAGCCTAGTGAGCCTTGGCACCATCCTAGCCATCATTTTTTAATTTTGTCCTCACACACAGAGATAAACATTCCTGTGTCTTTGAGGCTTGAGATTCTCCAACACAGAATGATGGAGGGAGGGAAGAAATTCCTGGTAAACATTTTAAAATGTTTGTTACATTCCTTCATTGTGAGTGGAGTAACCCAGTAGAGGGGTTTATTTATTTGGGAAGTTCATTGAAGTAGTAAGGATTCAGCTGAGCCTCAGGCTAGGAGACTTGACAGATCTACATGAGAAAGAAGGCAAAACACTTAAGTTTGTGGTCAGGAGAATGGTGTCTGTTTCAGTTCTACCACTAAACTAACTCTGTCCTCAGGCATAACATTTGGAACCTAATCTGATTTTATTTTCTTAAGATTCATTTATTTGAAAGGAAGAGACAGATCTACCATGCCCTGGTTCACTCCCCTAATGGCTATAATAGCCAGGACTGGGCCAGGCTGAAGCCAGGACCTTAGGAGCTTCTTCAGGGTCTCCCACAGCTCAATCACTTGAGCTCTTCCCCTGCTTTCCCAGGTGCATTGGCAGGGAGCTGGATCTGAATTGGAGCAGCAGAGGCTTGAACCAGTGCCTGTATGGATTCCGGCATTGCAGGCAACGGTGTAGGCTGCTATGCCACAATGCTGGCCCCTGAATCTATTTTCTTATCCTGAAGGTGAAGTAAGAAACAAAGTCTTTTGAAGCTGTTACTGTTCTTTGATCCTAGATGGACTAGAATGCTGAGAGCAGAGTGGTTCTATCTGGAAGCACCAGATGAGCAGAGTAGCAGAGTAGTGAAAATGGAAAGGTCTTAGCATAGTTCTACTTCTTGCGAGACTGAGTTCAAGACCAATTCAGTCATGTTGTGCACACACGCGCTCCCCTCCTCAGCAGTGCTTCCTTCCTCATGGGACACCAATATAATATTAGAACCACATCAGCATCTATTATGAAATGCTTAGGATCTGTATCCAGAGCCTTCATTCTTCTCCAGCAGCACAATAGGCTCCTAGTAGGTTTGTGTTCAATAGATTAGTAAATGTATAAATGAGAGTGTTTCAAGCTTGGCCTCTTAGGTGGTTCAGAATGCCCTCTTGTCAGTGGTATGTTCCATGCTTCTTTCTTGTATGTTTGTATGTGGGCTTTTTTTTTTTTTTTTTTTTTTGGAAAGGCAGAGTTAGGAGAGAGAGAAAGATCTTCCACCTGTTGGTTCACTCCCCAAACGGCCACAACAGTTGGAGCTGGGCTGATCCAAAGTCAGGAGTTTCTTCCTGGTCTCCCATGTGGGTGCAGGAGCCCAAGGACTTGGTCCATCCTCTGTTGCTTTCCCAGGCCATAGTAGAGAGCTGGATTGGAAGTGGAGCAGCTGGGACATGAACCAGTGCCCATATGGGACACCAGCACTACAGGCCGTGGCATTAACCCGCTGAGCCACAGTGCTGCCCTCCCCTCGCTTTCTGTCTTTAAAATGTCTCCGACAAAAAAAAAATGTCTCCAACAATAGCCATCCTTTTCTTGTCATTCTTAGTTCTCATTGTGCTTGCTTTTCAACAGACTGGAATCCATTCTCATTTAATTATCATATTTAGCTTCCATCCAATCTGTGGATGTGAATTGGCCACAGGTTCTTTGAGCAATGAAAGAGAGAATTAAAAATACTAGTAGCAGCCTAACAGAAAGAACCTGGCTATAGAAGTCGAGAAGTAGGATTTTTCACAGCAGATACTAATGTAAGTACATTAACATTATCACAGGAGTTTGCAAATAAATCGCTATTTAAAAGATTATATATTAAAGCATCATTCAAAATCATTGCAAAGGAAGAACTTGACTTTTAAATCTGCCCATACTGCTCATGAGCAAGTACAGCATTCAAATGAGAAATATGAGAAGTCACCCCTGATGGATACAGCTGACCACTATTCTGCTCACACTTCTATAACAAAACATAGACTGGTGGCTTAAGCAACAGAGATTTTCTCACAGTTCTGGAGGTGGAAGATCTTAGATCAAGGGCAACAAAGTTGGTTTCTGGTGAAGTTTCTCTTTCCTGGCTTGCAAACAACTGTATTCTCACTGCCCTTACATAGAACAAGTATTAACAGTTAGTACTGGGCATTTGGGGAATGAGCTAGTGGATGGAAGATCTCTTTCTCTGCCTTTCAAACAGATTAAATAACTAAATAAAAATTAAAGCAAAAGTTAGGGTTAAGCCGGCGGGCTCAATAGGCTAATCCTCCACCTTGCGGCGCCGGCACACCGGGTTCTAGTCCCGGTTGGGGCGCCGGATTCTGTCCCGGTTGCCCCTCTTCCAGGCCAGCTCTCTGCTATGGCCAGGGAGTGCAGTGGAGGATGGCCCAGGTGCTTGGGCCCTGCACCCCATGGGAGACCAGGAAAAGCACCTGGCTCCTGGCTCCTGCCAGGATCAGCGCGGTGCGCCGGCTGCAGCGGCGGCCATTGGAGGGTGAACCAACGGCAAAGGAAGCCCTTTCTCTCTGTCTCTCTCTCACTATCCACTCTGCCTGTCAAAAACAAACAAACAAACAAAAAAAAAAAAGTTAGGGTTAAAAAATACACTATTTGTAAGTCAGTTGGTTATATTTCTGTATCCTCACCAAAACGTGTGAATGTGACCTTATTTTGAAATAGGATCTTGGGGCCGGCGCCATGGTGCAGGGCCTCAATGCCCTGGCCTGGAGGCCAGCATCCCATATGGGCGCCAGTTTGAGACCTGGCTGCTCCAATTCCAATCCTGTTCTCTGTTATGGCCTGGGAAAGCAGTACAAGATGGCCCAAGGGCCCAAGTCCTTGGGCCCCTGTACCCGCGTGGGAGACCTGGAAGAAGCTTCTGGCTCTTGGCTTTGGATTGGCGCAGCTCCAGCCGTTGCGGCCAACAGGGCAGTGAAAACCATCAGATGGAAGACCTCTCTCTCTCTCTCTCTCTCTCTCTGCCTGCCTCTCCTCTCGCTGTGTAACTGAATAAATAAATAAATAAATCTTTCTTAAAAAAAGAAAAAATTTAAAAAAAGGATCTTAATGCTTTTTCTGCATTTATTGAGATGGTATGATTTTATTTTATTATAGTAGTTTTTTAGAAGATTTTGAAATTATACAAATGTATGGGATACAGTGTGACAATCTTATACACATATATAATGTGTAATGTTCAAGTTAGGTCTGCATTCCATTCAAATTTCTTTCATTTTTATTTATTTATTTATTTTTGACAGGCAGAGTGGACAGTGAGAGAGAGAGAGACAGAGAGAAAGGTCTTCCTTTGCCGTTGGTTCACCCCTCCAATGGCCACTGTGGCCAGCGTGCTACGGCGGGCACACCGCGCTGATCCAAAGGCAGGAGCCAGGTACTTATCCTGATCTCCCATGGGGTGCAGGGCCCAAGCACTTGGGCCATCCTCCACTGCACTCCCGGGCCACAGCAGAGAGCTGGCCTGGAAGAGGGGCAACTGGGACAGAATCCAGCGCCCCGACCGGGACTAAGCAGAGGATTAGCCTGTTGAGCCGCGGGGCCGGCCTTTCATTATTTTTTTACTTAAGTTTTTTGTTTGCTTCTTTTAGCAACTGCTCTAGAGTTTACCATACACATCTTAGTAGAAGCAGCTTCAGATTTAAATGAACTTAATTCTGGTAATACACAGAAATGTTACCCTTATATAGCTCCAATCACCTTCCCTGTTTGTGATATTCTTGCTATACATATTACATCTCTATGTAACAAAGCCAACAACACTTGTTATAATTATTACATTATCATTTGTAGCTATTTTCTGAGCCCAACAGTGTGGCTTCCAAATACCTCCTCTGTGTTGTTTGTAACAAATTTCACCTACATTTCTGTATGTTGCAGGCCCAGGAATACATTATATACATATTATCTTACACAAATGCTTTTAAAGTCATTAACAAAAAAGATAAAGTACTCATACTGTCTTTCAAAAGTACATAATTGCCTTATGTACTTCTTGGTGTGAAACTGAATTATCATCTGGTGTCACTTGCTTTCAGCCTGAAGAACTTTCTTTATTATTTTTTGTTTATGTGACAAAGTGCACTTCACCTTCATTTTTCAAGGGTGGCTTTTCTGGATATAGGACTCTCAGTTGGCAAGGTACTTGAGTATTTTGAATACAATGTTCCACTGCTTTCTGGCCTTGATTTTTCTGCTGAAAATCCAACTGTTCCTCTTACTGGACAAGTCATTTTCTCATGCTGCTTTTAAGAACTGCTTGCGTTGGACTTGGAGCGCCTTTACCCTGATACGTCTATCTGTGCATCCCTTTGTTTATCCCACTTGGAGTTCACTGACTTTTCTAGACATGTAGGTTACTATTGTTTTTCAGTAACTTTAGGAAGTTTCCCTCCATTATTTCTTCAAAGGATACTTTTCCTGCTCCTCTCTTTCCTTCCGTTTTTCCATTTCATATGTGTTGCTGTGCTTATCCCATACGAGGCAGGGGTGCAGCTTAGGGGTTAAGATGCCTGCACTGTCTCCCTCAGTGCTGCCTGTGGAGGTGGCAAACATCTGCTCGGCGCCGTGGTCACCCTCAGGTCCCTTGGGAAGCCCAGGATCATCAAAAAGAGGGCCACGAAGTTCATCCAGTACCAGTCAGATCTGTGTGTCAAGATTAAGTGTAGGCCAGCCCGCGGCTCACTAGGCTAATCCTCCGCCTTGTGGCGCTGGCACACCGGGTTCTAGTCTGGGTCGGGGCACCAGATTCTGTCCCGGTTGCCCCTCTTCCAGGCCAGCTCTCTGCTTGGGCCCTGCACCCCATGGGAGACCAGGATAAGTACCTGGCTCCTGCCATCGGATCAGCGCGGTGCACCGGCCGCGGTGGCCATTGGAGGGTGAACCAATGGCAAAGGAAGACCTTTCTCTCTGTCTCTCTCTCTCTCTCTCTCTCTCACTGTCCACTCTGCCTGTCAAAAAAAAAAAAAAAAAAAAAGATTAAGTGTAACCGGTGGAAATCCAAGACGCCATGGAGAATTTCAAGGGCCAGATCTCGGTGCCCAGCACTGATTATGAGAGCAAAAAGAAAACAAAGTACACGCTGCCCAGTGGACTCTAGAAATCTCTAGTATATGATGTCAAGGAGCTGGAGGTACTGCTCAGTCCAACTCTGATTCCAGCTTCCTGCTAATGTAAACCTTGGGAGGCAGTGGTTATGGCTCTGATAATCAAGTTTTTGCCATCATGTGTGAGACTGGGTTGAGTTCCCAGCTCTCAGTTTTAGCCCGGCCCAGCCCTGGCCATTGCACCCATTTGGGGAGTTAGCCAGTGGATGGAAGATCTCCCTCGCCCTCTCCCTCTCTCTGTAAATCTGCCTTTCAAATGAATAAATCAGTATTTAAAAAGTAAAAGGCAACCTATAGAATAAGAGAAAATGCCATAAATCTGATAAGGAGTTAATATCTAAAATATATTAAGAAATACACCTCAGCAACAATAAAAATAAAGGACCTGAATAAAAGAAGATATAGAGGGGCTGGTGCTGTGGCGTAGTGGGTAAAGCTGCCCAGCCTGCAGTGCCAGTATCCCATATGGGCACCAGTTCGCATCCCAACTGTTCCACTTTCAATCCAGCTCTCTGCTATGGCCTCAGAAAGCAGTATAAGATGGCCCAAGTCCTTGGGTCCCTGCACCCACATGGGAAGACCCAGAGGAAGCTCCTGGCTCTCGGCTGCAGATCGGCACAGCTCCAGCCATTGCAGTCACCTGGGGAGTGAACCAGCGGATGGAAGACCTCTCTCTCTTTGCCTCTTGTCTGATTTTCAAATAAAATATATATATATATATATATAAAAATCGCCAGCAAGCATCCAAAAAGATACTTAACATCACCAATCATTAAAGAAATGTAAATCCAAACAACCATGACATGCCACCTCACACCCATTAGGATGGCCACTACGATAAAAGAAAAAAAGAACAAGCATTGGCCAAGACAGGGAGAAACCAGAACTTTTCTGCATCGCTGGTGGGAATGGAAAATGTCATGGCTACTGTGGGAAACTATGAAAGTTCCTAAAACAGCATAGAATTATGGCCCAGTAATCTCACTTTGGGGTACATATATTCCAAAGATAGGAATGCAGATCTCAAAGATATGCACATCTATAGCCAAAAAGTACAAGCAGCCTAAATTCCCACTGACAGAGTTATAGATAGAAAATATTTTATATCTATTTTTCAGCCTTTAAGAATAAAATGCTGTCAAATGCCACAGCATGGATGAACCTTGAGGACAGTAAGCTAAAGGAAAGCATGTGGCACAGCAGTTAGGAATCCACTTGGGATTCCCGCATCCCATACTGGAGTGTGTGGGTTCAAGTCCCTGCTCTACTCATGCAAGTTTCCTGCTAACGGCAGACCTGGGAGACAGCAGGTGATGGCTCAAGTAATTGGGTCCCTGCCTTCCATGTAGGAGACCTGAATTGAGTTCCAAGCTCCTGGCTTTCCTCAGGCATTTGAGAAGTGAACCAGTAGAAGAAAGAGTGTTCTCTGTCTCTCTAACACTTTTCTGCCTCTCAAAGTAAAAAACTGAAGTCTTTGTATTGTGCCCCTACCTCCCTGAGTTAATGACCATGACTATCACATTTAAAAGTTATTGAGTTTAATACTTGTGCACATTGATGTATAAGTTGAATTATTTGAAGATTCTTTTTTTTTTTTTTTTAAGGATTTACTTATTTATTTGAAAGAGTAACAGAGCAAGAGGGAGAGCAAGCTTCCATCCACTGGTTCACTGCCCAGATGGCTACAATGACCTGGTCTGGGCCTGGCTGAAACCAGGAGCTTTATCCAGGTCTCCCACGTAGGTGGCAGGGGCCCATGCAGTTGGGCCATCTGCTGCTTTTCCCAAGCCATTAGGAAGGTGCTGGATACGAAGTAGGGCAGCCAAGATACGATCCTGCACCCATATGGGATGTCAAGGTTATAGGCAGTGGTTTTAGCTGCTATGCCACAATGCTGGTGTACCTTTCTAATTTTTTTGACATTGACTTGTTTGTAAAGCAGAGTTACAGAGAGGGGGGAGACAGACCATCCGTCCACTGATTGACACCCTAGATGGCTGCAATGACCAGGATGGTCCCGGCCCAAGCCAGGAGCTTTATCTAGGTCTCCCACATGGGTACAGGGGCCAAAACACCTGGACCATTTTCCACTGCTTTTCCCAGGTGCATTAGCAGGGAGCTGGATGGAAGTGGAGCAGCCGGGACATGAACTGGCACCCATATGGTATAGGGCATGGCAGGTGGTAGCTTTAGCTGCTACACTACAATTTCAGCCCCTTGACACTCACTTTAAAATTGTGGTTACCTTCACAATCCACAGTTGCCTGAGCT